ATCTCTAGTATGGGAGCATCTGAGGAATTTTCTTCAGCTTCTCTCAGTGAATCCTTAAAGCCTAGCTCCACCTTTATCCTCAGTGCTTAAATGTGTTGGTTATTCCTGCATGGCTTGATTATTGCAAACAGTGCTGGTAATAATGTGTGAATTTTACACAGTATATGGCTACACTTCTGTGGGTAGTGCTAATTTACTATTGGTCTTATGAAGGTTATGCTACTTTCTCAGTGGAATGTGTGGTCTAACCATTTTTAATCTGCTTTTAACTTTTTAAATGTCCCAGTTTTATTTCTAAGCCATGACTTTTCTTGTCTTTCACCCCAAACCCACACACTACTGAAGATCCAGTATAGGATAAATTGATCATGTCTTCAAGATGATTGGCAGTGCATTAGGATTTGTCAGTGTATGTTGTCATGTAGTTTGTGTAGTCCTAGGATCTCAAGTTTCAGTGTGTATTAAACAGTTGAACTTCACTTCCTGTTAATGTAAAGGTTATTAGGCATCCTGTTTTTGTGTGTGAGGGGAAATCCTTGTGTTGAGTCATGATTAAATATTTTTCTGAACCAATAAGCGACTTTGGTCTGAATTGTTGGCATGCTTGTATTTTTATGCAGACCTTAATTATCTCCCCATGTAATGAGGTGTTCTTTTTCCTTTTGTTATTTGTAGTAATGTTATTACTAGATGCACACTGTTTTAGTTAGTTGCAGCTTTTTGTTTATACAGCGAGAAGTCTTCCTGGAGAATTATATTCACATAATATTGCTTTGTAATTTGTAACTTGTATGTGACTCCTGTAGGGCAAGCAGTTGCGTTGCTTTAGCTCTCTGCTTTCCTTAGTGCAGCTCTACTTTTGCAGTCAAATTTGAGAAACCCCACTATGTCTCCATTCCCACAGCATGCCTAAAAATAAAGTCTCACCTTTTTTAGCTATTTGTATGTAGCCTGATTATACATGGGCCTCTTTGGGCAGCATCTACTACCTTGAACAGAGGGCACTGTGGGGATAAGGGACTTTAAAACTAAAAACAAGAGAAAAAAAAATGCCTTGATATCTCTAACTCTCTGTTAGGACAGTCCTGCATAACTAGTTCACAACTGATCATAAAGATCTGCAATCACAGTACAGACGGGGTTAATTAAGGCAAACACAATTCAACAGCCCCCTCATAAAAGGGGAGAACTAACTAGGTTTCAGCAAAGTGATTCTATAAAGATGAGCTAAAGTGTGTGTGTGTGTGTGTGTGTGTGTGTGTCGGGACAGTGGAGTCTGACGAGCAGCTTCCCGGCCGGGAGCTTTACATTCAAGGGATCGAGCGTCTTTTAGAGACGCTCGATCACTTATATTAGCAGCTGTCACTGTCGGTCCCGCATCTGCCACCGCGGATCTTGGGACCGGTAACGGCAGTGACAGCTGCTGGTAATACAAGCGATTGGGCGTCTCAAGACGCTCGATCGCTTGAATGTTAAGCTCCCGGCCGGCCGTGTAATAACAACGGCCTGTCGGGAAGCTGCTCGTCGGGCTCCTCTCGTCACAGACGTGTACACACACACACACACACACACACACACACTATAAAAATAAACATACACACATGCGTGTATGTATGGAGAGAGAGATTTCCACCATGCAGTGCTGTCAGAGATGGTGCAGACAGCCCAGGAATAACACATACAGGGTTTCTCACAAAAGGGTGAAGAGTCTGGAGAAGGCAGGAGATGGGAACAATCTAGGCCAACATAGCTGAACTGGAAAGTGAGCTGATTTGTACAGCCTTCACTTCCCCTTGAAACTCAATCTGGTATGTTTGCATAAAGCGCATTTTCTGATAGAACGTTCTGCTTATGCAAATAGTTTATAATCTATGTAGCAATGGATTTGTGTATTTCTCAAAGTTCGTTAAAGTGAACTTCCTTTTGCTCCTTTGGGTGAATAGAACAGCAAGGGAATGAATATAAGTATATGCAGCTAGAGCATCCATGGACATGTTCACTTGAGTGTAGAAAGTTTATGATTTAAAGTATTAATTGCCGAAGCATAAACAAGTATAAGATAATTTATCTCTTCACTCTGCCCTGTTTAGGTATTAACTTTCAACCTTTTGCTGACATGGTAAATGTTTCAGACCATAGAGATTCAGGAGGTCTCTTCCTGTTCTGCATCTTTTTTTTGCCCTTCTCTCGAAAATAATACAACTCAACCAGCATACAATATTTGACAAACTGTAGCAAAGATTGGTAAAATCTTTGTAATGTACACAGATCATCCCCCCATCAACATAAGTGGTGTTAAAAGAGAACTATGGGATAACCTTTTTATTCCATAGTTCTCAGGGTCACGGGAGGAGATATAGTAACCTCCCCTGACCCAAACCACTGTCTCAAATATGTTGTATTCTGAGAACTGTAAGTTATACAAATGACCGTATCTACTAAATTTATTTCACATGCCTTAATATTTTTCTTCACGCATACAAGGAGACCTCCGCTGCCCCACAAAAGTGACAGTAAAAGGGGTTGGGACAAACTATATAACATTGCCGTACAGGCTTACCACCATCACATAATTATCACTGGCAATGTTGGTTCTACCTCCCTGGTCACTTATGCTGGATAACTGGGCTGCTTCAAAAATGTGTAGAAAATAGAATAAAAATGAATGAGTATTCTGAATACTCTGATTGCATATATTAACTGCATGCAGTTATCAGAAGATAACAAGCTTCCTGTTTCAGTAGAAGTTTACATTTGCCTGTAATGTCACCTGCTTACATCTATAGATCTCAGTTATTTGATATGGGGTTTTAAAGCCCAAGTTAAATGAAAATAAAAGCTATGGACTAGTAAGCAAAAAGCTTGCATTGAAAATACTACTTCTGTGTGCTGCTGCACACAGAAGTAGTATTTTCAATTTCAATGCAAGCTTTTTGCTTACTAGTCCATAGCTTTTATTAGCAGCAGCAGCAGCCCAAAATCCCATGGTCCATGCTGCAGAGTGGGACCTCTGCTCTATCCTGTGGTCCGACGTGCCCCCAGCTTTATCATCACTGCAGTGCAGCAGTCGGCAGCGCTTCCACACCATCACGCAATGTTTCTACCCACTAAAACTTCAATTGGGCTTTAAAGTAGTATTAAGGTCTGGGCGTTTTTTACCTTTATGCATTCTCTGCATTAGGGTAAAAACGGGCCAGAACCTTTTTCACCCCCCACACTTACCTGTTAGCGATGCCTGTCCCCGCCACCGGTCCCAAAGTGATCCTCCGTTCCCTGTACTTCCTGGTGGCAGGGGGAGGATACTGATGGCAGAAGGAGCCACAGGCTCCTTCTTCCATTAATCAAATTGTTGGTCAGAGGGAAGGGGCGTGGCCTGCCACAGGGCTGTGTGTGTCTCTATGGATGCACACTGCCACTGCGGGCACGAGCACGCACGGGTGCCTCCGTTAGCCCATGGAGGCACTCGGGCAGGGGGAAGATTGCTGCGGGGACCCACTAGAAAATGAGGAACTTTTAAAGAAAAACAACAACATCCTCAGACAAAGGTGGGTGTCCTAATAGCAACTATTTTAAAGAAAAGAAAGGTTTAATATCACTTTACCTGAACAGTTCAGACTTTGTTACTTTCTGTGTCTAATAATACTTGATGATGCATGTTTTGTCATATGGCAATTTTAAGCTGCTATCTTAGCCTGACAAAGTGCTTTAGGTTCAAAGTCTGACCATCTTTTCTTGGCATATGTCCAGTCCTGTAATGGGAAGGTGGCATTGTGTCTCCTGCAGACTTCTTTCGACTCGTATGCACAAATTTGTATTTACTAATCCTAAGCACTCCAACTAATCGTATACACTTTGCATCTATAACATCAGAGGTAAATTTATTTCCAGGTAAGATGATTGCTGGCATGTCAGTGTGGTGTCATCATTAGGGCAGACACTGTTGACTAACATTTTTACAGACTCATTAGTTGTATACACAATCTTGCCATATCTCCATTGGTGGTAAAAAGACTGCCTTCCATGTTACAGCAAGTATGTTATTGAATGTGTAAGATGGTGTCAGTGATTTCTAGATGGGTAAACACGAAGATACAAGGATGTTAACATTTGTGAGCATCAGCAAATGGAGAGGACAGATCTTTTTTGCTTTGGTTTTATAAATCCAGACTCCCATTTAATGGTTCAGTGTTAGAAATTAGGGAAATACAGGTAAAAGGTCTATACAATCTTTAATCTCTTCATAATCATAACCTGTCTTGTTTCCCCTGTAGGAATGTATCCTGTCTGGAATAATGTCCGTAAACGGCAAGAAGGTGTTGCATATGGATCGCAATTCTTATTACGGGGGAGACAGTGCTTCCATCACACCTCTGGAAGATGTAAGCCAACTTTTACTAGCTACAAAATACTTGCGAGCTAGTCAATTGGTGCCCCTATATTGGGACACAGGAACTTGTGTCCTAATAACTTTGGCTGCTTTGTAACACTACCTTGGTGGAATATGGGTTTAGTGGTTAACATTGAAAAATAAATAAATACATTGCATCTAAATTCAAAACTTGTTTTCACTAAAATAAAAGTTGTACTTTTATTTCTGCTTTTAAAGTGTACGTCTGAGCAAAATAAAAAAGAATTATGCAGCACATCATTGCTACCCCATAATTAACCCTTTAAGACAGCAATTACCTGTCCGTCTGCTCTGAAATCTCAAGCTGTTTTGTCAGCAATGCCCAGTTCTCCCATGCTAAACTTCCTCCTTTCCATAACATAAGTGGAACGTAGCCCAGCAGAGGACAATTCAGGCAGGATTAATAACAGTTTAGTCCAGCAGAAGCAGAGTTGTCAGCTTAAACAGGAAGTTAGGAACTCCCCAGATTTCTGACAGATCCCCAAGTATTTTTCTGCCCATGCAACTTTTTTAAAAGAGACAAAACATGCAAAATGTTCTGTTTTTGTCCAGACAATGATCTTTGTAGCAGTGATGTGTTATGAAATAGATACTTTTCTTCAGACTAGTGCAGCAGCTGTAATCAAATTTCAGATTTCCTTTTGCTGTGTGTGACATGTCCACAAAACTTTCACTGTACCTTTTTTTTTTTTTTTTTTATTTTTAACTTTTGGC